TTTGTATCGATATAAGAGGTTTCAGACTTGCTACCCTGCTGTACACTCTCTGAGCATGTAACCGACGCCTAGCAATTTTCACAGACACGTTCTTATGTGTGAAATTGTTCCACTGTGTTGTCAACTCGGGAGGAAAGAGAGCAACTAACCAAAGCTGTAAAAACAACTGCAAGCAAGANTATATATATAGGACCAATTGTCATATTCTACATATTCTTTGGGTCGCGTGTTCTCACCCTAGTCGTCCAGAGAAGCCGGTGCTCTAGACAGAGCTTACCGCGGCGTCTAGCACCATTGCCAATAAACCATTTTCGATCCCAGCAACATTAACTAGATCTTACTAGGCTTTATTTGTACTGTATGCGCATTGAACATTTATCCATTTATGCAGACGATATAACTATTTAAAACCGATAACATAAGTACGAATTTGTTTTATATTGTAAATATGGTTATTACCTTTCACGTTACATGACATGACACGTGATGAGCACTAATTCCATTTCAAACTTAAACGATCAGCATATATGTTACATACAGGGATGCATTTAAGTTTAAAACAACTAAAATCCAATAAACTATTACTCTCACGCTACTTCCATCATAAAATAATCAGGTTGAACTATAATAAAGATATCTATAGTCATATGTTTCGATCCCCCACCGACATCTCGCATCCCAAGTTTTCATCGCCGCCATTAACTGCCACCTGAATCAGACATTCTCTTATCCATGTTTTTACATAATATCTAATTCAATATCAGAATCCCCCTATGTATGAGTTCTGCAAACTCAATTACCTGAAGAGTTAAAATATCACTGTTTTAGCTTTAGTTCCCACCAAATGCCTCAAAGTTTCATACTGGGACACCTGCCATATAAATTGCTTCGCCAAGAGTTATTTACAGGTAAACGAACATTCGGAACATGAATTAATTTTTTCAAAGTGAAATTAATCCTCGTTTTATGCTTTAATGTCAGAAATTGTTTTCAAACGTTCAAAGAAATATGTAAATCTTCCAGATCTAAGGACCGCAAACATGCACGGCTCTACAGTGGCAATAATATTGATGGTTCAGACGGCACTGTTTATGGGCGGTAAGACCTCACCACCGACAAGAAGAGACAAAGTTTGTACGTGTGATTTATCTGGATTAAATCCCCATTGTTTAGAGAAAATTTCACTTTGGTTTAAGAGATTGGACCTCGACGATGACGGTCAGTTGACCGAAAATGACTATTACGCTTATGCAGAGTGGTTAAGCACGTCGTCTCCGTTGCTGTTTCATGATATATTAAATGTGTGGTACCAACTGGGGTTTGCAGGTTATGTGTTTAATATCGACACGTTCGTTGGATGTTTTAAATGTCTGTTAGCAGAAATATATAGACAGGAATAAGCAGCTATCACCTGGAATAGACGGACGTGTCTGGCATCGTATTGGAACTTTCCATCGTATATGTTACCTGTATGATCGATCATACATGTATCGTATATGTACATGTTTTTACATAATATCGTATATGTACATGTATGATCTGTACATATCAGCATACAAGTGCTACATTTGTAGCCCTCGGTTAATTTTGGTGAAATTGATTTCAATATCGTTTTAAGATCCAGAGGGACGAGTTCGTTTACGCATGAAATGACATAATGTAAAGCGCATGTGAGCATAAACTCAGCACTGACTATTTAATGAAATGTTCAGAAAATATTTTTAAAGATCTACAAGCGCTGGCACCTGGCACTTATCAATATTTTTGTGCAGGAACACGGTGAAACATTTATCCCATATTTAGATGAGGGTAACATAATTATGTATTATCTTCATATTTTCTTCGTTGCATTTATCATATCACTACTGTGATTGAATGATATGATGCTGCACGACTAACTGGAATAAATTACACGGGGTATGAATATCTTGTTATTTCCTTCACGTTCATTCCAAAGAGCCTATTCTATATATGCTACCGCTCTCAGCTGGGAGAAAAGCTAGCAAGAGATGCACACTAAAATCGGACAAATCGGGTTTTAAGTAAGCTCAGCATCTGTACTATATTTCATCTGGGACATTTTGGACAAAGAAAGTCAACAAATGTAGTTACTATATTTTTGAGTGCACTGTGTGTGACAGAGACTGTATGTGGAAGGGTTAACACTGAACTCAACGTATTCCCGTCCTGTGAATTCACCCCCCCCCCCTTAAATCTGTACGTATGGAACTTAATGTATTTATATCAAAATCGCACAAATAGCCTCCGCCTCACACTATTATCCGTTCATCTCTACCGTCAGACTTTTCAGCTGACAGATGGAAGAACTGCTCAGCGAGATGAAATTATGGATTGAAAACCAATTGGGAAAGATCGTTTATGGAAAATACTCATTTTCGCGACTCCATATGTATACTAATTCTTGCGAATATGCAATAAGCTTACCGTGTTAAACCTGTTGTTCTGTTCTCCTTTTGGGTAATCCAAGACGATTTCTTTAAACTGCATACGTAGATTTTAAAACTAGGGCATTCTTTAACTGATCACATGCAGAAACCAACCCGTCTCTCCACGAATAACAACAGGTTGTTGTTTTACACCCAACACATGTAATTACAGAGTGTTATAGTTTGTTGTAGGAGGTCGTAAGGTTACAGGTGGAAACTATACCGCTCCCAGGGTTCAATCAGAGTGGCACATGGCTCATTGTAAGGTGTGTTTACAAGAGAGTAATTTGGATCGGAATTCTGTCCACCTTTTGTCGTCTGACTACCGGATGACAGACAGGTCGCAGTTTCCTTGTATTGTGGTTGGCTGATGGTGCGATGAAGACCTATCACCGGTCCAAAACAATCCTCGATTGAACTTATTTTTACATTAACACTCACCTTTTGTCTGTAGTGCTGCCTATTGGATATACCGGTTGAATCCACAATTCTAAAATTGCATTCAAAGTTCAGCATTTCATAACACAACTCCTCTACCAGACTGTTTCTGTGGGAATTCTTGAGCCCAGGCCAAATTATAACAACCTGAGTAGCAAAAAAACTGTGTCAATTGAAAATTGTCGACGCAGAGTGAGAGTGCTGCTGAGGTAGCAAAATGTGAGAGGAATGATGGAAAAACATACGCGGTAGAGGAATCTGGGTCAAGTAAAAAAACATTGGAGACAGAAATAACCAAATGAACGGGGTGCTGGAATAAGCTGGCAAAGGTTGACCGCAGGCCCGTTCACACTGTTTTAAGGTGGATCAATCCTGATACTATGAGCGGAGGTAATTTCCATTCACCCTTTTAATATACAGAGTCATTTTATCATTGGCCTCTATACAAACAGCTATATACAACCACCACCAGTGCGACATGAATGGAAGTCCGGGGTCCCACATGATTGGTACAGGTTAGGAATAGTCGGATTATTGGGGTTAGTAGGCCTACATGGGGCGAATGACACCTCTATATATAAGTAATGGGGAATGGAGTATGTTCTTAGCGGACTACCATTCCTGTTACGGTCTGTCTGACCGCATTGTGAACGTCGTTGAAATATGCGGTTAACGTGAATAAATCTTACTCCCATGAAATAGCGCGGAAAATGGGGCGCGCTGAGTGGTAATTGAGTGTAGACGCATTGGTTGCTAAGAAGCCACGTGCCGCGCAGTACACTTACGACGCGCCTTTAGAGCAACGTCAAGGGTTAAATAGTGCATAAAGGGCTGGGGGGGGGGGGGGAGGCAATGGGAATGGTAAACAAAATTGCAAAAAAAAATAATAATAATAATAAATAAAAATAAATAAAAAAATAAATAAAAACAACGAAAGAAAGGTGAAAGGAGAAAGACGGCAATTAAGAAAGAATGTGAATCCACAGGAAGAGTGCTTAATCTTAATTTAACCACTTGGCAAATAACAATTAATTTTCATTGTCGCGATGTAGCGTTTTTCAAATTGATTGCATTAGCAAAGTGCGTAATAGATGTATTTTCTCCTATTAATAATTAATTAATTTAGATTTATTCATTTGTTTATTTCTTATATATTTTGCAGTTGTGTAATACATGTACCATGCAGGACAGGGAAACTACTGTAATAAGTGTAACATTCCAGCAATTTTACTAATTTCTAAATTATAATAGCCATTAATTTATAAACGGTTCACATTTCCTTGTGCAAGCTGAGATAAGGGTGTTTCACAAGGTTATTTATGTTATTTAGTTTTATTCAGGGCCTTGCAGTTAAATGAATACATACATGTATTTCCCCTGCACAGGGGCGGATCCAGAGATATTTTCTGACAGTCTTCCAAATTATCTTTGTTAATCCATCCACCATTTTTGACCGTCTTCCGACAGAAAACCTTAGATACCCGTCAATGTAAACTTAAAAATCTGACCGTCTTCCGAAAGACCCAGAAGACGGCCTAAATCCGCCCCTGCTGTATACTTTAGCATTATACTTTTTGACAAATGTTTTTTATCTCAAAAAGAGGGGAAAAAAACATCGATGCATATTAGCAACAAGAATACATATGCCAATGTCTAGGACACGGTAAATTGCATTTTTCAGAGAGAAGACAAAAACGAACTATTTCATTTCTTTCACATCTCTTTGACCAATGTTATGTTATTTTGGGTAAAGTATACCAACCCCATGCATATGTTGTACCATTTAGAAATGGAAACAATATAGTATCTGAAGATGGTACCATTAATTCACAATATAAACATTTGTAATGACTGGTACCATTAATTCACAATATAAACATTTGTAATGACTTGTAACACCGGGACCCCGGATTATCCCCATGACAACCATTCCTGTCGCAACCATACTTACATCTATTGCGTTAGTTGAGAAATGGGATGTGTTTACAAACCAAGAGACAATAGCATGATACAATCAAATAGTGAAATATGATCTGTTCTCAGCTACACTGTATATGTGTCATGTACCGTACATTAACCCCTCACTCCATACTTTAAATTGGTATCGGGGGTATTTTAAGTGTTAAAATTCAAATCATTGCGAGGAATACAGTGTCCATCTATAAACCACTTGGCCAGTTGTCCCGGCGGGAACCATGTCACCGGTTCACTGGGGTCGTTTAATTTGGCACATAAATCACAGTATACATCTGCTTTTGGGAACAGTCCAACATACTGGTTCTTCCACTCTAAATATTTAATATACGCCGTGACATTTCTGTCCAGGTATTTCAGATAGTCTGCTAAATCTTTGGGAGATTTAAAATCGTTCGTATTGATGTGCCACTCGGGTTTTATTCCAGCCCTTGAATAATTTGCCGGACCTCTCGTTACCGTTACAATGTCTCGATCGAACATTTTCCAAAATTTCTCTGTGACGTAATCAGTTGAGATACTATTCTCGAAGGACAGGTAAAACTTGTAGTCATTGCTAATGTTGTCCAAACATTTTTCATTGTCGAGTTTTGAACACTTAAAGGGGCCACACGCACCGTACACATCAACTGAGATGTATTTCTTAAGTTCTGAGACATATCTCTCTCGTTGACCCCGTGTCCCACAGTTGCTGACCATCCAGGCCACCTTTTTAGTTTTCTTGAGCGCAATTTTGGTGAAATTTTTGGTAAGAGGGGTCGATCGTTTCTTGGCGTGACCATATGGAAGAAAAAAGGTCGAGTCTCTCCGAAATGAGATGGTCCAGTTAAACATCCCTGCCCAAACACCTCCGGTTTCTGCGGCTTCGGTATAACACGAACTCTCGAGGGTTACCCATATCCACCGTTGATGGGGCAGTTTTTTTGGTTTACTTCCCAAACTTCTGCCTATGAAAACAATAGCGTCACTTTTATCAGCTAAAGACTTTTTCTCAGTGTAGATGCAGTTGTCTACTTTGCAGCCAATGGATTTAAAGACGGGCTTAGCATAGTCTCTAAGGTGCATGAAGTCCCACCCCGGCCCGGGAGGCCAGGATAGAATCACCTTAGGCTTGTTGGGCGTGGCGGAGATGACTGCCGCAAGAGAATACGTAGTGGTTTCTCTTTCCTGTAATCGACTTTTTGCCACAGCTTTTGGGTAGGGAATCGACACCCGTATTTTCGTATAAAAGTCGGATAATTTCACAAAGCTGAGTAAAGCGGAAATGGCAAAAGCGGTAATGATGGTGTAGGTCAGGATTCTGCACGCTGTTTTGGAACTGCATGGGACGTATTTTGTAGTCTTTAAATAGGCTGTGATGCCAGATATGTCTCCCATACTTAATACTTATAGGGCTGATTCTCTAAGGCGCCAGATATCCAATTTTTATCCCGGTGTTGTTGAAGTATCTGAAAACAAAATATATGTACATGTATTTTGTGGTAAATGTGAACTTCAAAAACATTTTGACTCATTATCTAGGACTGTGCAATGTGTTAGAATAGTCACTGATAAAATTAATTTCAACAATAAATATTGCTCATTTAAACAATCTTTATAAATTAGATGGTGAAGATGTAAGACAGACTTTGAGCGTCTGTGTATGTGTGCTCCTGATAGTTCCACGTTTTATATATTAGCTAATGCGTGGAAAACCATGACAATATACTCGTAAATGAGCAAAAATATTCATTAGCTCGGTACTTGAATATATACAAATCGTAAGTATTTGACATATACTGGAGATTTGTCCTCACCGTCTGTTAGCTCAAATCCTGTCAGAGATGATATATTAATAACTGATCTATGAATGGCATAATAAAAATATTCTGAAACAGTGAATAGGAAAACGAACAGAGAGTAGCCGATATGGTATTTTCATTGTAATATTCATACTAGTTTAAAAAAAGAATATATTTTATTAATCCTTGCACGAAGCGCAGCACGGAAAAGGTGTGTGGAATTTTTCTGATGAATTTTAGGGAAATTCTAGCCCCCCAAACCCCTTCCAAGTCCACTAAAGTTGGTTAATTGTCGGTGCCCAGTTGCATGTATGCTTTCTCCCTCCCCCAGGCACTGAGCATGTCAGGAAAGACACCGTTAGCATGTGATCATGATCCAGTTGAATACGACAAACCTGATATATTCCCCAACATTTAACCACGATGGGCGTATCTAACACGTAGTAGGCCTATAGAAGTTGTAAAACTCATTATGAAATTGAGATCTTTAATTGCGTTTTTAACTTTTATCATTTTATTGATTGCTTCGTGTTGCACCATCTTAGATGTTCGACATTACCATCAAAATAATGAATTTGCTAACGGCACAGGCCTTGGCAATTGCAGTATCTGAACATAGAATAATATTATTTATAGTTCTGTTTAAAGGAATTACCTGTAATAGTCAAATATCCGGTTGACTTTTCTGTCGTCGAATTTTTAAGTCTACTGAAAAGCAGAAGATTCTAATTCCACCCAGATGCTAAATATTTCTTCATATTAACAATGTAGTACGCTGTAGGAACTGTCCACATTGATGTATAGCATAAAACCACCTACTGAAAAGCAGAAGATTCTAATTCCACCCAGATGCTAAATATTTCTTCATATTAACAATGTAGTACGCTGTAGGAACTGTCCACATTGATGTATAGCATAAAACCACCTACAGAGTAAAAGTAGCAAGTATTAATAACAATAAATGTAGTCTTAGTCGTTTCTTATATTTTAAAATATTTAAAAATACGAAACGACACGCGAATAAACAGGCAAAAGACAAAAAGGAGAAGAAGAAGAAAAACAAAAACAAAAAGTAATCACCCTTAAACCCAGTACAGCATTGGAACGATTATAATTAATTTTGTATATCACAGGGGATACTCACATGCGAAAATGAGCCAGCATCACCAGCATACACTTTACTTTAGATCCGGTGGTTTTATACAAAGAAATCGTAGTGTCTCTGGCCATTCCCGTTTTACATATATACAGTCTCAAATTTCACTTCCTCAGTGTGGTCATCAGTGCTATTGCAAACACGCTGTATGTACATTGTACCATCATGGCGACATGACGATGTCTGGATATAACTTTGTACCTGGGGTTGAATCCTGAGCCAAGAAATAAATCATAAATATAGTCATAAATCACGTAAGCGCCTTTGCAATCTTTGAAAAGTGTTTTAACCTGGGGCATATCGTTACTTTAGTAATTTTGGTTTCAGGAGGAAGCGCTAGTATTTATGTTCTGACTGACTGTGCGCAGCGAGCGTGACCATGTAATTATATATAAAAACGTACTACGAAAAACTAAGATTACGTCATAACATCCGTCTGAAAGCTTAACCGGGGCGTACCCAAGTCTTGAACATGTAGCTGTCGACTGGCGGCCGGGGCTGGGCTGGGAGGAAGGGGGAGTCTGATTAATAAGCAATATTGCTTCGTTATCAACCATGGACACGTATTGTTATTCTCCCATTATCAGGTTTATTCCATATAAGTTTCAACAGACAGATTTCAATCTTACCTGCCTCAATATATATATATATATATATATGATTTCGGAGATTTTTCTTTAATTCCTCAGGCTAACACGAAAATGACGTCACACGAATCTCAGACAGACGTAAATGTGAACTTTTTGGATGTGGAAAATGTCTTTTTGATGAGTTATTCTATATAATACCGAAAGTTATGATAAAGACGGTCTTCGCTTGAACCTCCTCTGTCCTAACTAGCGTATCCATTAGCTTGTGCAGTGCGGTGCGGTGTGCTCACTGTCAAGTCCGATGTTGTAGATCTCTCCCATCTTCCCTTTGTGAAGAATGAGGTCCAAGCCTATTGTATACACCATAAGTCAGTCATATAGGAAATGTTCCGCACCCATCAAACATGATCGCAGACTACATGACAGGATGGCACTGGTTTTACCGTAAAACTGGAATGTATTTTGATTGTGATATCGGAGTTTTAAAACTGCAACAGCAGCAGGTGAATGTGGCAGAGAAGACAGCACAGATGTGTGGCGGAGGGACGCAGCAGAGAAATGTGGCTGAGAAGACACAGAAAAGTGCGGCCTATAAAACAGCAGGGGAATGTGGCAGAAGACACAGCAGAGAAGACAGAGACATGTGACATAAAAAACAACAGGGAAATGTGACAGTGCTCAGAGAAATGTGACAGAGAAGACACAGTAGAGTTTTGCGATAAAATAAAGGTCTAAAACTCCTTTATTTCCCATGACAATATACATTAAACGTGTAGACCCCCAGAACAGTTTTTTTTTACTCTTTAAAACATGAAAAAACACGTTACTTGTGATTTTTAAGGCACGGGACCCTACAATATCATGAAGGATCATTAAATAGAAAAGGATTTGACTTCCACATTCTGTTTCCAGACCTAAGCCATTAGTGTCTTAAATAAGGCTATATTACAAAACAAAGACACAATACATAAAATCATATTACATAGCTAATTTTGAACTATTTCAACTATACCATACTAGTATGGCACTAACAAAGGTTAGTTGGCTAACTGGTACAATTTCTTGAATCAGATGTAAAATTACAAGCAATGAAACAAATCCAACTTTTCCATTAGAGATAATAACCTGTGACAGAATGTTACAAAATTTCTCACAAAATTTCTGAGTGGTAATTGAGTGTAGACGCATTGGTTGCTAAGAAGCCACGTGCCGCGCAGTACACTTACGACGCGCCTTTAGAGCAACGTCAAGGGTTAAATAGTGCATAAAGGGCTGGGGGAGGCAATGGGAATGGTTAACAAAATTGCAAAAAATAAATAAATAAATAAATAAATAAATAAATAAAATAAATAAATAAATAAATAAATAAATAAAAACAACGAAAGAAAGGTGAAAGGAGAAAGACGGCAATTAAGAAAGAATGTGAATCCATAGGAAGAATGCTTAATTTTATTTAAACTACTTGACAAATAACATTTAATTTTCATCGTCGAGATTTAGCGTTTTTCAGATAGATTGGATTAGCAAAGTGCGTAATACATGTATTTTCTCTTATTTATTTATTTATTTTGCAGTTGTTTAATACCATGCAGGAAAGGGAAAATACTGTAATAAGTGTAACATTTCAGCAATTTTACAAAATTTCTGGGAGTTTTTTCTAAATTATAATAGCCATTAATTTTTAAATGGTCCATATTCCCTTGTGCAAGCTGAGATAAGGGTGTTTCACAAGGTTATTTATGTAAATTGCATTTTTCAGAGAGAAGACAAAAACGAACTATTTCATTTCACTCACACCTCTTTGACCAATGTTATGTTATTTTGGGTAAAGTATACCAACCCCATGCATATGTTGTACCATTTAGAAATGGAAACAATATAAAATCTGAAGATGGTACCATTAATTCACAATATAACGGACAAACATTTTTGTGTACATTTAAGGAATACAAACTGTTTCAATAAAGGGCTGCTGCGCTTAGAGTGTCTACAGAAGCTATGGGGTATACAGGTCAATTTATTCACAAGTCATATACATACGTATATAATGCTGGTCGCCCTTGGTACCTCTGGTGTGTGTGTGTGTACCCAAGGTCCCCATGACAACCATTCCTGTCACAACCAAACTTACATCGATTGCGTTAGTTGAGAAATGGGATGTGTTTACAAACCAAGAGACAATTGCATAATACAATCAAATAGTGAAATGTGACCTGTTCTCAGCTACACTGTATATGTATCATTTACATTACCGTATATTAATTCCTCACTCCATACTTTAAATTGGTAGATATTTTAAGTGTTAAAATTCAAATCATTGGGAGGAATACAGTGTCCATCTATAAACCACTTGGCCAGTTGTCCCGGCGGGTACCATGTCACCGGTTCACTGGGGTCGTTTAATTTGGCACATAAATCACAGTATACATCTGCTTTTGGGAACAGTCCAACATACTGGTTCTTCCACTCTAAATATTTAACATACGCCGTGATATTTCTGTCCAGATATTTCAGATAGTCTGCTAAATCTTTGGGAGATTTAAAATCGTTCGTATTAATGTGCCACTCGGGTTTTATTCCAGCCCTTGAATAATTTGCCGGGCCTCTCGTTACCGTTACAATGTCTAGATCGAACATTTTCCAAAATTTCTCTGTTACATAATCTGTTGAGATACTATTCTCAAAGGACAGGTAAAACTTGTAGTCCCTGCTAATGTTGTCCAAACATTTTTCATTGTCGAGTTTTGAACACTTAAAGGGGCCACACGCACCGTACACATCAACTGAGATGTATTTCTTAAGTTCTGAGACATATCTTTCTCGTTGACCCCGTGTCCCACAGTTGCTGACCATCCAGGCCACCTTTTTAGTTTTCTTGAGCGCAATTTTGGTGAAATTTTTGGTAAGAGGGGTCGATCGTTTCTTGGCGTGACCATATGGAAGAAAAAAGGTCGAGTCTCTCCGAAATGAGATGGTCCAGTTAAACATCCCTGCCCAAACACCTCCGCTTTCTGCGGCTTCGGTATAACACGAACTCTCGAGGGTTACCCATATCCACCGTTGATGGGGCAGTTTTTTTGGTTTACTTCCCAAACTTCTGCCTATAAAAACAATAGCGTCACTTTTATCAGCTAAAGACTTTTTCTCAGTGTAGATGCAGTTGTCTACTTTGCAGCCAATGGATTTAAAGACGGGCTTAGCATAGTCTCTGAGGTGCATGAAGTCCCACCCCGGCCCGGGAGGCCAGGACAGAATCACCTTAGGCTTGTTGGACGTGGCGGGGATGACTCC